GCGCAATGTGCCTCAGGTGGCATGTGACCTGGATTCATCACCAGATTTGGTCCGATGGTTGGATCATTTGCTTCCCTGTCTTGGGCCAGGGAGTGCAAGGTGAACGCTGATCCATGGAGAGAGCTGTGTACAGATGTTGTACTCGTCTCTGAGAATTGTATCAAGCAAACCTGGTGAAAAGATTTGTTACATGGGCTCTAATCTTAGATTTATTTGGTGTAGGTTTTCAGATCATCTTGCAGAGACTTTGTTTTTTAAATGTGTTCCTGCTTTTTGGCTATGCTCCTCTCCCCTTTTATTTTGATATTCCCTGCTGTCAAGGTTTCTGTGTCAGACAGCTAGGCATCATTTCTTCATACCTGCTAGTACTCTGATGGCTTTCATTTCTACCGCAATCATGCAAATATACCAAGCAGCTCAGGTTTACTCTCCCTTCTCTGTCAGTAGGGAATGGATAGGGAAGAAAGCATGCAGGAATGACAATTGGAAAGCTGTATCCTGTTTAGTTGTAGCTGTGTTGGTCGCAGGATGTTAGAGACAAGATGTGTCAGGTAAACCTTCCTGATCCACCACATCTCGTTCGTCCTAAGGGGATCCCCCGTGGCGGAGGTACCCCTCAACCAGGCAGACAAGATCGTCCGGCAGGTGGTGAAGAAGTGGCTGTTCCTTCCCCAGAGAGCCAGCAACGAGCTGGTCTATATTGCCCACAGGCATGACGGTGCCAATGTCCCCCGCATGGGTGACCTGTGTGACATCGCGGTGATCACCCACACCTTCCGCCTGCTGACATGTCCCGACGCCATGGTAAGGAACATCGCAGCAAACGCCCTCCATGACGCAACAAAGCGGATCAGCAGAGCCCCCTACAACCAAGACACCGCCAGCTTCCTGAGCGGTTCCCTGGATGGCAAATTCGGACGGGACTGGCGCGACATCGCTTCACTGTGGTCCTGCGCTCGCAATGTCACGCGTCGCCTGGGGAAGCGCATCGGCTGCCACTGGGAGTGGTGCGAGGAGCGCCAGGAGCTGGGAGTCCTGGTGCCGCAGATCAGGTCTGAGGACAACACCATCGTCCCCCTGAGTGCCAGGGGCATGCTGGAGAGGACCCTGAAGGCAGCCATCCACTCGCTGTACATGGAAGCCCTGAAGCGTAAACCGGACCAGGGTAAAGCCTTCCAACTGACCAGCAAGTGGGATGCCAGCAACCACTTCCTCGCTGGAGGCAGCTGCACCCGTTTTGCCGACTGGCGGTTCATTAACCACGCCCGGCTCAACTGCGTCCCTCTCAACGGAGCCGTCCACCATGGGAACCGAGACGAGCGTTGCAGGAAGTGCGGTTACTCCAACGAGACCCTGCCCCACGTCCTGTGCAGCTACGAGCCCCGCTACAGAGCCTGGCAGCTGCGCCACGCCATCCAGAACCGCCTAGTGAAAGCCATTGCACCGCGCCTGGGGGAGGTCGCTGTGAACTGCGCCATCCCCGGTACTGACAGCCAGTTGCAACCTGACGTGGTAGTCACCGACGAGGCCCAGAAAAAGATCTTCCTTGTCGACATCACGGTCTCGTTCGAGATCAGGACCCCAGCCTTCCGCGAAGCCCGAGCTCGTAAGCTGCAAAAATACGCCCCTCTGGCCGATACCCTGAGAGCGAAGGGCTACAAGGTGCAGATGAATGCCCTGGTCGTCTGAGCCCTGGGTGCTTGGGACCCCCGCAACAAGCGTGTGCTGCAGACCTGTGGGATCAGTCGATGCTACGCACGGCTCATGCGGCGCCTCACGGTCTCGGACACCATCTGATGGTCCAGGGACATCTACATCGAACACATCACTGGCCACCGACAGTACCAGGAGGTGTGAGCCGGTACGACATTGTGCATCAACTATGGGAAAGGGACTGAGAGACTTTTTTCCATTGGACCATATGAACTGGAACCATAAACTCACTGAACATTAAATCCCACCAAATGAGGGTAGATCCATCCCCATCAACGTATCCACTCATACTCCACACCTGAACATAGCCATTATATGGACAACATACCCCCATATCTCAATGTCTGTACTTGGACCGGTTAAACTTTTACCCCTAATCGGGGAGATTGCAGATTATGTATTCCTTACGCCACCCGTTCCTAACTGAATTTCGCACCCCTTGATAATCTGTACCTTATTCCCTGATAACCAGAAACTTCTATGCTTGAACTCTGTACCGTTTTCTTTTTACTTCAACATTATCTTAATAAAATTATTAAATCTGTTCTTTTATTGGATCAACTTCCTGTTGGGGTGAGAGATGAGCTTTTGAGCCACACAGCTCTTCTTCAGGCCTGGGAAAGGTGCTCCCAGTATCACAGCAAAATGCAAGGTTTTTGCATAAGTAGTTAGCTCATATTGTAAGGGATCATTCAAGGAAAGCTGATGATTAGGTGGTACCTGTTGATATCTCTAGATACTGGGGCGGCGAGGAGATCATGGTGGGTTCCTTTAGTTTGTGAACCTGAAAATGTACTGTGTGTTTGATTAGAGATGTTGCAGGTTGAGCTCTGGGATTGTTCTGGGGGTAATTGCTATAACCCTGACTTTCAGAAGTGCTGAGCATCCATAACTCCACTGAAGTCAGTAGGAAGGAGGTGCAGGTGCTTGGCATCTCTGAAAATCAGATCCGATATTGCTGTAATAGTAATGATGCGCTGAGTTATTCATGGACTATCTGAGCCTGCTCTAAGCTCCTGTCAGGATCTTACTGCTACAACTGCCTGATCCATCCCTTTGCTCCCTCCTTCCTTAACCAGTCTAAATGGTGCTCCACCCAAACCAACCTTCTACATGCTAGTGATACAGAAGTATCCTAGCCCCTAGTGGCAAGTATAGGTGCAAACCCAGGACTGTACATTGGGATTACATCTTGATATCTGACATGCAGAAAAGACAGAGCTGTTCGCTCACCAGAGCTTGCTGATTTTGTCAGTGTTGTACTTTTGGTTTGCTCTTTAAATTTACACTTCTGCTGGCCTTGCTGGGAGGTATAATAAAACCCTGCAGGAATGACTGGCTGATTTATGGCCTTTGGTTGATTACCTCATAATTGGCAGGAATGCAGAGATGGATTCCCACTTATTTGTGTAGAAATGGGGTAATAGAAGCACCAAGATGCTGCAAAGGCTTTCTCTATTCTGCTCCTTCTCAGATCATTGTGGGTGGATAGTGCTTTAAATTACCAGTCCAGTCCAGTGATTTGAGTCAAATGTCCCAGGCCCCATGTAGGCTGAGGCACAGATATAAAGAACTCTCCTTCCTGACAAGTTCTGACACTCATTTTAACCGCTCTGGAAACAATCACACTATAAGAAAAGGAGTACTTGTGGCACCTTAGAGACTAACCAATTTATTTGAGCAAAAGCTTTCGTGAGCTACAGCTCACTTCATCGGATGCATCCGATGAAGTGAGCTGTAGCTCACGAAAGCTTTTGCTCAAATAAATTGGTTAGTCTCTAAGGTACCACAAGTACTCCTTTTCTTTTTGCGAATACAGACTAGCACGGCTGTTACTCTGAAACCTAATCACACTATAAATTTCCAACTTGCTCCACATATGTACACACCCCTTCCTTGGGAAAAATCCACACCCTAGGTCTGAATCTTCAGGTTCTACCCATTTGCTGTACTCCTTTCTGTCCTGGAGAGTGACATAAGGTGCTACCTTTGCTGCACTGGCTGAATACTAGAATCCATATCCTGCTGTCCCAAGTGGTGTTGCTGGTATGCTAGGGCAGGGCTTTTTATTTCTGCATTAGGTGCTCTGAGTGGATCATAAAATGTTGCTGAAGTGGTGGAATTTACAAGGTACAGAGCACTATACTTTCTTGTAGCACTGCACTGAGGCACAGGTGCACTATTCTCTCCCCCTTCCCCCTTAGTAGAGGATTAAGCTTGATGATTTACAGAAGCAGGCTAATAATTAACCTAACTACATTCCAGGCAACACCAGCTCCTTATGCTATACCCATAATGCCAGCCTAAGATGTTTACTTTCCCCTCCTCAGCTCAGTAGCCATAGGGTTATCTGGGTTAAAAACTGATACTAGTCTATGCTGCCACCAACTCTGGAAGTTAGGTTTCAGAGTAACAGCCGTGTTAGTCTGTATTCGCAAAAAGAAAAGGAGTACTTGTGGCACCTTAGAGACTAACCAATTTATTTGAGCATGAGCTTTCGTGAGCTACAGCTCACTTCATCGGATGCATACCGTGGAAACTGCAGCAGACTTTATATACACACAGAGAATATGAAACAATACCTCCTCCCACCCCACTGTCCTGCTAATAATAGCTTATCTAAAGTGATCATCAAGTTGGGCCATTTCCAGCACAAATCCAGGTTTTCTCACCCTCCACCCCCCCCCCCCACACACACACAAATTCACTCTCCTGCTGGTGCTAGCCCATCCAAAGTGACAACTCTTTACACAATGTGCATGATAATCAAGTTGGGCCATTTCCTGCACAAATCCAGGTTCTCTCACCCCCCTCCCAAAAACCACACACACACACTCACTATCCTGCTGGTAATAGCTCATTAGCTCAATAGGGAAGTTAGGTGGCTTTTTGAGCTGGTTTCTTTAAACATTTATCTGACTGCTGTGGTATCCTTTTGCATTCTGTCACTTGTCATCTTTCTTGGACAAGGTCGGGTGAAGAGATTTTAAAAAAAGTGACAAAGTGTAAACTGCATTGTTTGTTTTTAAAAGCCCCAAGGATTCTAGAATTGAGTAGCATGAAAAAGGGATTATGCAAACCAAATCCTACTATCTGGGATAGTGTGTTGCAGTGGTGTTGAGTTTTAGTCCCTGTTAACTCCCCATATAGCTGTGCTGTCTCATCCAGGCCTGATGAATTCCGTGTTACTTGCTGAAACAAAATAAAGGACCCAATTCTGATTGATTTTTTTTTTTTTTACACTCTAAAATCCCACTTGTTTAAACATGATTTTGCTTTTTTACTAGGTTTCTGGTGCCAGGTGGTTAAAGAGGGAAAATGAGAAGATTTTTGAGACACGGACATGATCCTGTAAGAGAGAGGCTCAAGCGTGACCTTTTCCAGTTTAACAAGGTATGGTGGGCTCTTCAAATGAGCTTTAAGGGAAACAAGCATGAAAGAGCAAATCTGTCCATAGTCACTGAAGAGAAAGGAGGGAAGGTTCATTCAGGTATGTATGGAAAAGCTAGATACAACAGAGGTGGATTGCCTTCGTATTTGGTAAATCAAAGCTGGGTTTTTTTTGTGTTTTTTTGGTTTTTTTTTGTTTGCAATCTGATGCAAACATATTTGTACGTGTGCATGTCTTAAGCTCACAGGCCATTCCTGGGCTTTGAGATACCACATTCTTGGTTTTAGGTCTGTCCATGAGAAAACAGGTTACTAGCATTTTCTCTTTGAGGGAGTGAGGAGATTATTTCAGTATGACCATAGTCTTGCTGTGACTAATACATAGGACTTTCACAGTGTTTTGAGTCTTTAAAGTGCTACACATGTTCTCACAACACCTCTATGAAGGAAGTAAATATTATTCCCATTGTACCAACGGTGTCACCTAGGAAGGGACTGAGACGGAGAAGCTGTGACTTGGCTGACAGCACTGAAGGAGTCTCTGTCAGAGCTACGATTAGATTTTAGGTGTCCTGTTCTCTGGCCATATTTCAATTGGTTAATGCAGAAGTGAGTACATGGGATTCAAATGGGGCAGGCTACATAGGTAGCTCTTGTGGCAAATGTGACTGTGCTGTTGTCCTGCCAGTCGGAAGCTGCACATCCAGGTTTTTGTAGAGGTTCCATTTCTGCAAACAGGGAACAGCCCTCTCTGAGCACTGGTATCCACCCAGCACTTGAAGAGTTCTATTTAGTTAGGGAACCTTGTCTGCCTGTTCGTAAAATGCCAAGAATACCTTCACAGTTATATCTTTCTCTGCTTTATGTGATGCTTTCTGACTTTAGTGGTGGTATTTGATTTAGTCCTACAAAGGAAAATGTGATATTTACAAGATGGTGACTTTCTGTCTAAGACACTACTTTTTAGTAATTTATTATTTGTAGTTAGTCTCAGTATTTAAGCAAAAATGACCCCTTATACACTCTTCTTTGTTAGCAAGGGATTGATTGGAAACACTTACTGCTAGGAGAATCTACAGTTTGCTTTTCTAGCAAGGAATCCTTTGTCATTTTTTACACTTTTTTCCCAGCAAAGATATGGCTATAAATCTTGGTGTCTTCCATTATTACCTGTAGAGCGATAATAGAAAGGGTTTCAGAGAAGCAAACTTTAGATATAATGGAGACCTCCATAAGACTGGCAGGTCCTAAAAAGTCAGACTTAGGGTTTGGCATGTCAGAGGTTATGACTTTGAGGAGCCAAGAGGTTAAGAATGTTTTCTATTGCTCGTGAATGGTCCTTGTTAAACATGAAGGTCAAGCTTCATGAACACTTAAGTTTCTGTTCTTTAGCACTTTCATGAATTTATTCTTCAAAAGTCCTCAAATATAATGCCGGATAAGAACTTGTCTGGGAAGGGACTAGTAACAGCTCAGATTCTTTATCTAATTTCAGTTGAGAGTCTACAGTATCTAATCAGTGCAGTCAGGTTGTATCTCTTATGTCTGTTAATCATATTTGTTAAGTACTACTACACGTGTTGCTTTTGAGGGCTAATACTATATAACATAAAATCTGGTCACAGAACAGACACAAGGTATTCCCACCCTAGTTCTCTTATTGCACATTCTTGTATAAAGGTTAAATGTGAATCCATTTTGTACATATAAATTCATAGTGCCACTTATGAGTGGGATATGCTGATGCAGTAACTACAAGTAAGGCTATGTCTACACGGCAGTTGGGAGGGTGCTTCCCAATGCAGGTAGACAGACATTCACTAGCTCTGCCGCAGCTAACATGCTAAAAATAGTAGTGTCACTTTGGTGGCATGGGCTAGCTGCCAGAGTACAATCCTGCCCAACCCCCAGAGGATGTACTTGCATGGGTGGCCCATGCTGCTGCAGCCACGTTGCTGTCTTTAGTGCACTAACTTGAGCAGAGCCAGTGCATGTCTGTTTACCAGTGGTGGGAAGCACCTACCCCAGCTGCTGTGTAGACCTGCTTTCAGGGCCAGATTAATCTTTTGTAGGCCCGGCGCCAAACATATCTGTGGGCCCCCATGGAGGCAATGGAGCATGGCACACAGAGGTCAGTCCCCAGAACGAGTGGCAAGCCAGGGGCATGGAATGGCAAGGGCGGCCCCGCTCCGCTCAGCCCAGTGCGAGGGCAGTATTTACAAACCAGAAGTTGCCAGACGCACAGTGGCCCGCCCGGCCCTGTGCTGCCAGCATGCCCCTTCCCTTTTGAGGACTGGCCCATGCCGCGCCACACAACTCCCCTGCCCAACATGAACACCACCCCAACTCCCTAAGGCCACAGTCCCCCCGTGCCGCCCCCCCCCCCCACCCCAAGACTCACTCCCCCACACCTTGCCTCCCGGCTGCACTCACCGGCCCTGCTGGGACCTGACTCTGCCAGGCAGAGCCGGCAGCACAGCCAGGGCTGGTCCCAGGGCAGGGAATTACTCCAGCCCCTCGGGAGGGGTGGGATCAGTCAGGCCAGGGTCTGTCCCGGCCAGGCTCCCTCAGGACCCACTTGCCTGGAGGGGCTCAGCCAAGTCGTCTCGTCCCCACCCCGGGTCTCCCCTGCCCCCACGATTGGCCAGGCTTCTGCACCAGTCCCAGGCAGCTCAGCTCCGGGGAGACAGGCGGGGCACCACAGATGGTGGGAAGCAGAGACTGTCCGGAGCTGGAGGTGCACTGGGGTCTGGCCAGGGGGCAGAGAGGAGCCAGTGGGTGGGTCCAGGGGGTGGAGAGGAGCCCTCTGCCAGCCGGGGGGCAGGCCAAGCGGAGCAAGTGGTGGGCGGGGGGTAGCCAGTAGGCTGATGGGGTCTAGGGGTGCAGTGCTAGTGGAGCAGGCTGGGGCCCCTTCTGAGCAGGGGCCCAGCCCCATGGCGCCATTGGCACCATTGTAAACCCAGTACTGCCTGCTCTAACAGATTTGTACTACAAAAATAAACAGGAGCACTCCCGTGAATAAAGAGAAGGGGACAATTTCTTCTCTTGAGGCTGAGATGTATCCTCCTCCTTCACCCCGAAACAGAGCTTGTCATTCTATCAGTATGGGCACAAGCTAGTCCTCAGTTTGTCTAACTTCTTTCCATGCTGGGATGTATGTGCAGTACGTCAAAAGTAGAGTAGTAAGTACTGACTGATTAGTGTAAGGGAGAAAATTGAATGGGTAGTAGACAGAATCTTGGTGACAAAAATATAATGCCCTAATAACCTGGGGCATTGTCTGTTCCTATTTTGCTGACATTAGTATATCAATTGGAAAGCCTAAATTTTTGATGGGAGATGACAAATTTCTGGGATTTTTCCTTGTACAGCATTTAATTGTTGGACCGTCCCAGAATCCTATGATGCAGAAACCAGGCAAATAGACATGGTCTCAGAAAGCATGATCTTGACATTTCCTCAAATGATGCTTCCTTTTCTGTGCTTATGGGATCTCCACACCTACAGTGTTGTGGTCCTCCAATTAAAATAGAGCTGTATATTCTGGGATGCTTTCTTCCCCTAAAATCTGTCTTGTGTAGCCTTTGAATCCTTCCAGCTAGACTGCTCCGAGAGCCCTATTTCATTTAGTGGGATTATTGAACTCTGGCTTTGTGCATTGGTCAGTATGAATGATTACAGCTATGGAGAAGGATTTTTTTTTTTTTAAACGTTAGCTTTGGCTCCTTCTCCATCCCAGTTTAGCTGTATCTCCTGAGGGTTGTTTCTCATTTTAGACCTGTATCTAACGCCATCAAAACCCGGACCTGGCTGCTTCTTGCTCTTTGTTCAATATTAGATGTAAAATTCAGTAGTTCTGATGTTGGTAATTAGCAGTAAATCACTATAGCTACATACTCAAGTAATGAATTGGCTATGAGGGTGTAATCCCATTGAAATCAGTGGAGTTGCATCTTCTTATACCAGCAACGAATGGGGCTATTTTAAGGACATGCCTCCTGCCTAACTTGATGTAATTGTTCAGTTGTGATTTTAAGCATTTTAAAGGCTTATGTCTCCCAGCTTGGTTCTGTCATCTCCTCCCTCTTCTGTCTGCACTCCAGAGTTTACCTGTTGTCAGAAATGGGACAATCCAGAAAATTTTGACGGCCTGAACTGTGCAGCCAGGCTAGCTTTCCAGCCTCTCTTCTATTAAACTCTTATAACAACATGTGCTCTTTAAATAATTGTCTTTCCACATTCTGTGTGGATGACTTGGCTTTGCATACCTCTCTCTGTATGACCAAGAACTACCCTTACTTGTATATACCTGTTGCAAGAATCTGTTTTTAGCTCAATAGGTAGCATAGAGTGAAAGGTTTGTGTACTTGACAATCTACTTTTTTTTAAAAAAGTTCATCCTGCTTTTAGCATAATATCTGATACCTTTGGCTCAGTCCCAATCCTGCAAGACAAAGCATGTTTAGACTGGCATTTTCTGATTAGATGATAGGTAACACATAGGTGAGCCAGCCTGTCCTGCAGCTGAGTTGCCAAACTGGGTTATAGTAGAAAAGATATTACTCCACCCGCCTTTTCTTATGAAATTGGAAGCATTCCATGTCATTTATGGCAGAGATGTGCTCTGCATTTTTCCTTCTCTTTAACCCTCTTGCTAACTGGTGTGATGGATGGTTGATTTTAACTCACTGAATAAGGAACTATGTCAAACAAATTTAACACCCACTGGCCTCATTGTTGTCTTCAAAGGGAGTATTTAACAAAGATGCAGTTCCTTTATTTTGCATTGTCATAAAATGTTTGAACAGGAGTGCAGGGGAGGGAAAGGAGGAGGAACAGCTATGAGCCCAATCCATTCAACTTCAGTTTGGGTTGAGTCAGCTGTTAGCTATATTTGCTGCAAGAAAGAAATGGGCAAAAGTGAAACACCTCTGTTCACAAATGCTGCTGACACCAGGCTTCCTCTTGCCCTGAACTTGAAACTAGTTTTTGCAGTTTTAGGA